TCCAAAAACACCCCCATCGGCTAGAAACGACCACAAGCTCATTCCAACGTATAAAATAAATTGATGACACTTGAAGAAGGTTACAACACCTATCCAAGCAATAGAGATCAAGAGAAAAACTCTTTCACTCTTTAGTTTCTCTTTTCTCTTGTATAAGTGTTTGAGCTGATTACAAATCTTTTATTTGTTTTATTGTGAGCATAATTATTGTAAACATCTATCTTGTAAGGTTTTTCTTGTTTACATTTTTTATCATTTTATAAAAAGAGTAGTGGTTCTATCTTAGCCTTTGAAAAGATAGGGGTTTGTAAAGGTTACTCTTGACCCTAGAAAAAGAAAGGACAAAATAGTGGGTTTGTTAGAGAATCCTTAGTGTGGAGTTAAGGTAATGGATGTAGACTTGGTTTAGAAGTCGAACCACTATAAATCCTTATGTAAATTGTCTATATCTTTTTATTCTATAACCAAAATTTTCAAAAGGCCAATTCACCCCTTCTTGGTACTTTTTCGGTTAATCAATTGAGCTTCAACAATCCTAATAATTGGTATCAGAACTTGACTCATTAGAAAGTTTAACAACCTTGAGACGATCCTTGAAGAAGTTATACCAATTTCCGATGCAATTGAGAATATGACTTCAACCTCCGACTCCTACTACATTGAAGACTCCCAACAAGTTAACAAGCCACCTTATTTCAATGCTACAAATTATGCCTATTGGAAGAATAAAATGATGATATTCATTCAAGCCAACGATCTAGGAGCTTGGAACTATATTATGAAGGGATACTCTAGTCCAACCAATGAGATTGATGATTAGAGTGATGGAAAGAAGAAGAAGTTCCAACTCAATGTAAAGTCAATGCACATTCTATTTTATGCATTAGGCCTAGATGAATATGGAAGAATATCCTCTTCTTTAAATGCAATGAGATATGAGACAAACTCCAAGTCACTCATGAAGAAACCGAAGAAGTGATGGAGACCAAAATGGCTCTTCTCAACAATAGCTATGAGAATTTCAAGATGAAATCGAATGTAGATATTAAAGTTATGACGGATAGATTTTCCGTTATTGTCAACAATCTCAAGGGATTTGGAAAAGTCATCCCTAATGAGAAACTTGTGAGGAATATGATTTACTCTTTTCCAAAGTCTTGACAATCAAAGAAGATGACGATTATCAAAGCTAAGAACCTAAAGTCTCTCACTTTTGATGAGCTTATTAGTTGTCTTCTCACTCATAAGTTGATGGTAAAGGAGAAAGAACAAAAAGAAGAAGAAGATGAAGAAAATAAAAACAACAAGAAGAATGAGGTAGATATTGCCTTCAATTCCAACAATGAGAGTAATCAAGACTCAAGTGAAGAGATGAATGTAGATTAAAAACATAGATGGCCAAGCTCTTCAAAAGATTTAAGAGATTCATGAATTCTAAGGAAGTGAAACATGAATCAAGCAAAATGAAGGGTCCCCTGTGTGCTTCGAATATCAAAGAACGAGGCATGCTAAGTATGAAAGTTCCCTCCTAAAGAAGAAGGGATCAAGTAAGAAGATGACATTTATGGTGGCTTGGAGTGTTGAAGATGACTCCAATAATCCAACCTATGCCTCATGGCCATCGAAGAAGATTCAATGGTAACTTCTAACTCTAGTGAATTAAATTTTTATTCTTTTAATGAGTTACAAGTTGCCTATGATGAATTGTATTTGGAATTTGAGACCATGAATTCTAAATATAAGAAATTGATTTCAAACTTTAAAGTTGAAAATGATTTTCTTTTGAAATCAAAATTAGATTTTGAAAAACAAAATGAAATCTTGAAAAATGATTTTGAGCTTTCAAAAATCAAAATTGAAGATTTGGAAAAAGAAAATCTTGATTTGAAAGTTAAGCTTAGTGTTTAACAAAAGAAAAAGAAATCATTTCTAAAAACAATTCAACTATGTTAAAAATGACAAAATACTCATATTGCCATTTTCATGGTCATGATGTACACACTTGTCTTATAAAGAAAATAAAATATTTTAAAATTAGACAAGTATGAGTTCCCTTGGAAACTAGAGACATTGGCACTAACTCTCTAGGACCTAAAGCAATTTGGGTACCAAAATCCAAATGAATATCTCTTGTAGGTGTGTTGGAGTAATGGTGATAAAGGTAAATGATTTTAAATGCTCTAGTCACACAAAAGAATGATGAGTAACCTCTAACCTTAAAGCCTTTTGATTTTGTATATTTGTTGCCTTTTTTTATGCATGAGTATTGAGCATAAATGATAAATTGTTATTTGGTATCTCATGTATGTTTAAAATATGTTATGATAAACATTTTTTTTTGGAAAATGATTTTATAAAATTCTAATTCATCATAATGTTTGTTTTTGGTTAAGTTGTGTTTGAAATTTCTTTTAATTTTCTTGACCTTAAATTTTTTAATGTTTATGCATATGTTCTTTATTGCCTGCGATATCCCTCTAACAATTGATATCTATGTTAAATGCATAACATTTTAGAATGTTTTATGATTATTATGAGTTATAATGTCTTATTTGTTGATATTGCATAAATTATGTTTGACTTGGATTTATTGAATTTCATGTGTTACTAATGTGTTTTCTTTCTCATCTTTTTGAAATTCAACATTCTTTTAAGTACTAAAATTTTGTGTCAAAAGTTTTCTTGGAATGCTTTTATTGAGGGGGAATTTTGATTTTTCAAATGATTTTATACTAAAATTCTTACTTTTTCTCCATTGTTGTTTTGAACCATTAAATTTGAATTATTTTTTATATAACAAAAAGGGGGAGAAGTATAGGTTTGAAAATTTTAATTTCTCAATTAAAAAGGGGTTTTAATATTTTCCAAATATTTTTTTCATTAAATATTTTATTAAAGGGAGATTTGCCAAAAACAATTTTCAAATATTTTGTTATATCAAAAAGGGAGAAATTGTTGAACCATGTTTTATAATATTTTGATATAACAAATTAAGGCAAAAATGTTTTTGGACTTGATTGAATTTGTTCAAAGTTTCCAAAAATAATTCAAAGTCCATTAAAATTAGAATTTGAACACAAAATAATTTTCTGGGTAAGTAGTACCGATATTGTTCTTACAATATTGATACTACATGAACAATATCGATACTGTTCATGTGGTACCGATACCAAATGTAAGAGAAGTATCGATACTCTCTTAGTAGTATTGATACTACTAGTTGTTTTCCATATTGTTCAAATTATAGAATGCAAAATTAGTACTGATACTACTTTACACAGTAGTATCGGTACCATGAACCCTAATACTGATACTGGTCAAGCCCAACGGTCTTTAACAACTAGTTTATTTAAAAATTACAAAGGTAGTACCACTACTCATTAAAAGAACACCGATACTCCCTGTTTTAGGTAGTTTTATTTTTGTAGAAAATTCATCCCCAACAGCTCCAAAACACCCCCAACGGCTAAAAACGACCACAAACTCATTTCAACATATAAAAATAAGTTGAGGACACTTGAAGAATGTTACAACACGTATCCAAGTAATAGAGATAAAGAAAAAAGCTCTTTCACTCTTTAGTTTCTCTTTTCTCTTGTACATAAGTGTTTGAGCTCATTACAAATATTTTATTTGTTTTCTTGTGAGTATACTTATTGTAAACATCTAACTTGTTAGATTTTTCTTGTTTACATCTTTTATCCTTGTGTAAAAAGAGTAGTGGTTATATCTTAGCCTTTGAAAAGATAGGGGTTTGTAAAGGTTACTCTTGAGCCTAGAAAAAAAAAGAACAAATTAGTGAATTTGTTAAAAAATCTTTAATGTGGAGTTAAGGTAGTGGACGTAGACTTGGTTTAGAAGTCGAATCACTATAAATTCTTATGCAAATTGTCTATCTCTTTTTACTCCATACCCAAAATTTTCAAAAGGCTAATTCACTCACTCTTGACACCTTTTCAGTTGATCAATTGAGCTTTAACAATCTTAAGAATATGCTTATGATATATAGTACACATATTTTTTAATGTTTCATCTCAGTACCAATTTTCTTCAAATTATCTCAATTCTCTAAATCATTTTTCAAACAAAAACATTTCCATATATTTTTTATTTTAACCATTTCCCCTAATTTTTCCTATTTATCTCACGTGGGCTATAAACGAGTCGAGTTGAGTTTATGAATTATTGAACTCAACTTGCAAGCTTTCGAGTTTGAAATTATCAAGTTCAACTCGAACTTAAAATCAAAAATTGAAATTTAACTCAAGCTTGAAAAAACTTAAACTCAAAACATTCACAGACTTAGCTCGATTAGAACTTTAACTCAAACTCGGTTCAAACTCAAGTTCAAGCAATAACCTGAACCTTTAAGTACATGAAAATCTTATTCTACATTTTTTAAAAAAAACATGTAAATATTAAATTATTAAGAACATAATTTTATAAATTAAAATTTTAATATATTATTTTTCGAATTGCTTGCGAATTTTTCAAGTCGAGAATTAAGTAACTCGTTTTGACTCACTAAAAATTTAAATCAAATTTGAGCTCAAATCAAGTATTGACTGAATTTTGATAGAGAAAAACTTGAATAGCTTACTATATGTATGTCTCTTTCATAAGCCTAATCCCATGATAAATATTTTTTTTTTTAATTAATAACTTATGTCTGATCTATTAAACGATTAATTCAGATTAGATATTACATAGACGATGACGACCCTCTCAATCCAGTTTGATCTATTCACATACACCAAAATTCAAAGCTCTAATATTTCTTAAAAGATCTAATATCTTATCTCACTATATAAATGGTTGGTGGTCATCATAAATACTCTTTAATTGTAATTGAAAACAGATAGTAATGACTAAAGATTCAAATAAGGAAGCCAGCCGTCCCAATTGGCAAATTGCGTAATCCGACTCATCACTTTTCCCGATATACCTTTTTTTCTCTTTTCTTGTTCATTTTTGTTTTTTATACGCTCTTTACCCTCCTTTTTATATAACACTATCTGCTTTCAAATTCCTGGATAAATTAATACTACTGTTCACTTCTTCTGAGAGAGAAAGAGATTGAAAATGGTGGCCGATCGAAAGGGTAAATCCGATATCTCCTTCGCTGGAACCTTCGTCAGCAGCGCTTTCGCTGCTTGCTTCGCTGAGGTAGCTTATATATATATAAAATATATATTTGCTTTGATCTCAAGTTTTGTAATTCTCAGTCTCTGAAGTATTTTTGTACCTTGTTCTTCGGTTTTGGCTACTGAAACGTGTATAAAAAAAGTTAATATCTTGATTGATTACGTGATTGTAAATTTGTAAGAGAGAATTTTTTTTCCTATTCGGTTCTGAGATTTGACGGATCAGCTGAATATTATTGTTTGCGGAACAAAATTTGATTAATAAAGTTGTTGATTTAGAGATATTTCATTTTAAGTTTCATATTCTTTCAACATCTCCAACAATTTGGTTAGTTTTACAACTACTTCGACCGATGGATTTGAAAAATTTTTGTATGCGAAATGAATAATGTTTGACTTCCTGATTATTGAACTGCAAAAAGGGCGTGATGTTTTTTTTTTCAATCTGGTCACTGCCGAATCAATTACGCCGCACGAGGTTGAGAAAGATTCTTATGATTCAAATTGTTGGAAGAAATATATTTGCTTTGTTATTAAGTTCAAATAATATTATAGTGCACTTGAATTTAATGCAGATATGCACAATTCCTTTGGACACTGCCAAAGTTAGGCTTCAGCTTCAGAAGAAAGCTGTTGGTGGAGATGCGGCAGTCTTGCCGAAATACAGGGGTTTGTTAGGTACAGTTGGTACTATCGCGAAGGAAGAGGGTTTAGCTGCACTTTGGAAAGGTGTTATTCCTGGATTGCATCGTCAATGTCTTTTTGGTGGCTTGAGGATCGGAATGTATGAGCCAGTGAGTGTTGCACCTTCTTCTCAAACAAATGTTATTTTTTTTTGGTTGTTTTCTTGTTTAACATGATCACAGTTCACAGTTCACAAATAAATTTGACCTTGTGTCAGGTTAAGAATTTTTATGTTGGGAAAGATCATGTTGGAGATGTTCCTTTGACCAAGAAAATACTTGCTGCCCTTACAACTGGTAAGGAAAATGGAACATTTGGCTGGGATTACTTGTTATGCCTGGACATTTTACCAAGATTGGTGCTGTACTTGAGCTTTCTTTGAACAGGTGCTCTAGGAATAACAGTGGCAAATCCAACAGATCTTGTGAAAGTTCGACTCCAAGCTGAAGGGAGACTACCACCTGGAGTTCCTAGGCGTTATTCTGGGGCACTTAATGCTTACTACACTATTGCTAGAACGGTTAGATGTCTGTCTAGATAAAAGAGATACCTAAGTTACGAGTTGTTACCAACTTCTGACTCTTCTGTTTGCATCCTTATCTTCAAACTCTAGGAAGGAGTTGCAGCTCTTTGGACTGGACTTACACCCAATATAGCACGAAATGCTATTATAAATGCTGCTGAACTTGCAAGCTACGATCAAGTGAAGCAGGTATAGTAATTAAAGCTCATAGTTACTTGAGCTTCATGTTTTAAAGTGCTCCGTTTTTTTTCCTTTTCTAATGTCTTTCAGTGCAGACGATTTTGAAACTCCCTGGATTCACCGATAATGTTGTCACACACCTCCTTGCTGGTCTTGGGGCTGGATTTTTTGCTGTCTGTATTGGTTCTCCAGTTGATGTGGTAAGTCATCAAAGTTCATATGTTGCCTCTTTTTTACTCATTTTTAATAGTATATCTCTGTTATCTGCTGGTTATGATGAACTTAGTATTATATTGTATGAAGATGAGTTCATGTAGCACGTATATGATTACAGAGACCTCTTCACTTTTTCTGTGCAAACTAAGTATCTTTAGCTTTACATGCTCTGGCTATATTATAAGGAGTTTTTAATATGCTATGCTCTATATGGAAATGTAATTATAGAAAAACCTATTCGAATACCGAAGTAATATTGCAATATCTGTCTAGGTGATAGCATGTTTGAATTAAGGTCTGTTTTCCATTTCACCTAGTCAGCCAGAGGAATCTACATTTGATTCATAAGATGGTTGAATCTGCTGTTATCCTATCTTTTCTAATGGCTGTTAGTCATGTCCCTGCAGGTTAAGTCAAGAATGATGGGAGATTCAGCCTACAAGAGCACGCTCGATTGTTTCATCAAAACATTGAAAAATGATGTATGCCTGCTTTCTTTCATCTTGTTTCTCCTTTTCTAGGAATCATTGATGTAATCATGCATTGAAATTTGATTATTTGGGCAATGGTTTCATTTCTCTTAACCATTAATGCCTCCCACACTTTAAGCGCTTCACCTTCTGTTGTATGAGTTATGGCCCATTTTGTTAAGGAGGGTACTAGCTGCAGCCAGCTGGTAAAAATCTTAATGTGAACAAGCATTTAACTTAGAGCAACATTATCATTTTCAGGGACCTTTGGCCTTTTATAAGGGTTTCATCCCGAATTTCGGACGGCTAGGATCTTGGAATGTGATCATGTTTCTTACCTTAGAACAGGTAAAGTTGCAAACTTTTCTCCCCCAACCCCTTGTGTTTGGTATTCGCTTTCGCGATCAGCAGAAACAGGGGTTTTCAATTTCTCAACATCATACCTAGATTGTTCACAAATGCAGCTTTATTTGTTTATTGCTAACTCGCTTAGTTGCTTATCTAAAAACTACCACATTCTGCATTCCTAATCAACAGGCAAAGAAATTTGTGAGAGAGCTAGAATCATCTCGAGGAGCTTAAGAGAAACAATCCAATCCCGCAAATGCAAGAAGTGGGGAGTGCCATTGAAATTGAAGTTTTACAGAGAATAATACAGATTTATCCAATTCCCCCCTCATAATATTTATGTCATGAGACGAGCTATGATATGCTTGTAAACCCTGGGGGGATCTTTTTGAAATTTCACTAAACTTTGAAGCTTTCAAATGATGTTTTTTTATTCTCAAAACTGTTGTCATTTCATTGATACCTGATCCATGGCAAGCAATAACATGGAAGATTGAATTTATTTTGCTCAAGTACCTTTTTTTCTGTCTATATTTTAATGGGATAAGTCTCAAAATTACAACTTTAGTCTGATATGCAATGTGAGATGTAAACTTTGGTCCAATATGCAATGTGGTACAAACTTTGATTTTGTGAAATTAGAATTTGATTCTATTTTAACAAATTATTATTTAATCACGAGCACTATTATCATCTAATATGGAAATAAAATGGATGTATTTTTTTCAATATGAATAATTGATTATATATTTGAGTAGGAATGACCAGGAGTGTAAAAAAAACCGAATTTGAATAAATAAGATTATGTTTGTGTTTGTTTATTTTTAAATGTGTTTATGTTCAATTCGTGTTCATTTAAATTTTTAATATTGTGTTCATCTTCATTGGTTTATTTTTTAACGTATTCATGTTTGATTCGTTTAGAGTTCATAAACATGTTCATTTATATTTTAGCCAATATACTCGTTTAGTGTTCCCCAACATATTCGTTTAATCTTCGTGAATATATTCATTTATACGATTCAAGTCCCCTCGACAACCAACACTATCACTTTACCATTTTATTTGCAAATAAAAAACAATAATAATAAAATTACGACATTAGTCATTAAGTTCCTTAGTCTTCACCGATATTTACATCCTAATAGCCTTACGAATCAACCTGATATTTTACCGCCCGAGTTAAAATTCGGGTTTGTTTCGAATTACAGATTTAATAACATAAATTCTATATTACCTTGTACAAATGTTGATCAATCACAGAGATAATTTCATTGAGTGGTGGCTTACATTACATCTCTCTGCTCAAGAGCCTATGAACTCACATGCCGGAAACAGTACCAGAGGGAAACATCAGCTTAAGACGAGAAAATGCTTTTCTCCACGTCTCCAATGCTCAAAACAAGACACTTGTGCCTGTTTTTTTCACTCTCAATCAGAAAGGAAAACGAATTCTAGAGAAGAAAGAAAAAACCGAGGAAGAAACGAAAGAAATTAGCTTAGTTTCTGCCTCTCCAAAATCCATTTCTGGAACCGGTTCACAAACTTGGAATCAAATTTTACATACAACTGCTGCATTTTCCTGCTTCCGAGTACGGTATATGAATCGATATAGTCTTCGTATCTCTCATAGAGTGCTGGAACCGTGAGGACCACAACAAGGCCTGCCAGAAGGAAAGTGCATATACTAGCAGTTATATTACAGTTTCAGGACTATGACACCAAGCCCGTAAATGATGATGACTAAGACGATGAAGATGAAGGCGGAATTTGAACTTACTGGTGTAACCCAAAGTAAGGAAATCAGCAAGGCTACCAACAACTGAAATCAGCAACAAGTACGCAGCAGCCTTGAAGAACAACCTTGCATCTTTTCCCAATGCGATATCTCGAGAAGCCGATAGAAAATCGTTTACATGGGCTCGGATGAACGCTCCGACTTCATCTACCATTTCTTGTGATAGATACAATTCCGGAAGTGGTGGAGCAGGCCTATTTTATGACAACAAACAAGTAAAATTTAGTTGCTAATTCCTAATTGCCAAAAGGGAACTTCATATCATTTAAATTATCAACATTTTTAGAAAGGATTTGGTAAAAGAAACTGATAACATCTTATTAATTCCGAGTTTACGAAGCACGGCGGCACCGATTACCTGTTAAGAATTGCAGCAGATTTGGCCCAGAGAAAAAGAATGACAATGAGGAGGAGAAGAACATTAGAGACAAGTGATAGCAGAGTGTAACCAGATTTCTCAAACACCACCCAAGCTGCTAGAGTCACCAACAGGATCCCCATTGTCAAGTTCCCTCGCCTCCACAACATCACATCTGCAACTGTTCAGAGAAAAAAAAATCATCCAATCATGTTAGGAAACTGATTATCAATATAAAATACAAACAAAATATCTAAATATATAAGAATTTAAAATTTTCAGGGGATTGCCGCCTCGGTCCATCACTGCATCCAATTACCTCCAAGGTGTGCATGAGATCTTAAACGGACAGACTAATAGCATTAGATCAACGATTTCCATTGTATATACTTAAAGCAACACTTTTGATCCTTAAGCAAGGGATCAAAGAAGATCCATTTCACAGTAAAAGAAAAAGAAGAAGCTAAACCAATGAAAATTCCATGGGTGATTCAATCAAGTTCAACAGTGGATCAAACTGAATTCTAAAGAAAACCCAGAACTAAAGAGGTGTGAAACTTTACCTAAACCACCGCCAAGGATCTCATGAACAGTTCTCTGTCTGTTAAACAGTCGATTAGATGAATCCATTCACGAGAAAAATAAAAGACCCTTCAATAGAATCAAATATCAGATCGTCTAAAACCCAAAATTTTGATGGCATCAGACTTGAAGAAGATAAAAAGAATATATATATATATATATCAAAGTAATTGGTTTCTTTAACCTTTTTGCAAATGTCCTATGGAAGGATGACCGTTGAAAGGCAACGTTGGTTGCCACAGATTCCAGCCTAAAAGCGTCATCCTACTCATGCCTTTTCCAACTTTTCTTCTCACTTTGTTTTTTCTCTCTCTTCCAATAATTAATTTATTAATTAAACTACGAGAGAAATTCCCCTTTACTAAACTGCTTATTTCATGTGCCTTGTTTCCTAGGGGTTTACAACTTTTTAGGGTTGTCCTAAATGTAACATGGTAAATGAATTACACTGCGTACTGACGACCGGTATATTAACACTATATGATGTGTTTAGTTCACATAATGTAAGATTATCAGTAAGAATGTAAGATTACCAGTGAGAATGTAAGATTACCAGGGAATAGGATTACTGAGAATGTTGTATTTTGTGTTTGGTTGGCTTAGCAGGAATGTAAGATTAATGTGTTTGATTAAAGTAATAAAAGATTATTGGAATGTATATTTAATCAAATTATCATTTATATATTTGTATAATATTACAAGTTAGAAAAATATTTATATATATTATTTAAAAAATTTAAATTCATAATATTTATATAAATTTTTTACAAAATTAAAAATATAAAAAAATTAATGAAAGGGTAAAATTTTATTTTAACCCTTGAACTTCATATAAAATTTTAATTTTAATTTTTTTTTGTAAATCTAAAATAATTTAAGGATAAATTTGTAATTTAACCTTCGTAGAATTTTTATTATTCAATGACAGAAGAATAATATTTTTTAAAAAAAAATTTAAGGGCATTTTAGTCCAAAACGTCGGTAATTCAACAATACCTAAAGAATGGGAGGTAATGACATTCCCGGTAATATACCCAAAAAAATTCACTATTGGTAATCTTACATTACCGGGAATAGGATTCCCAGGCTAACCAAACGGGGGAATGTGGATTCCATGGGAATGGAATCCACATTCCCCTATCCAAACCCCCTAAGGGTGTGTTTTGTTCGCAGAATTTTACATTATCAAGGGAAATATTTTTGTTTAGAATTGTATTTCCACATTTGGTTCACAGAATTTTACATTATTGTGAATACTCTTTTCCTAATAGTAGCATTTTTTTGTTAAAATAGTGAGAATGTCATTACATCCAAATTCTTAGGTAATCTTACATTCCCACCACTTTAGACAAGAATACTCTTGGACTAATGAATTTTTTTTATAATAATCCTTCTAATTTTTTTAATTTTTATACTTTACTCAAAATATAAAAATAATAATAATATACAAAGAGTTTGATTTACTAAAATATTAATAATTTTGAGAATTTAAAATATTTTATATTTTTAATATTCAATATTTTACTATTTATAATTTTATGGAATGAAAAAAATAGTATTATTGTAAAAATGTAATTATTTAAAATAATATTTTACTACCATAATATTATTTTTTATATTATATTATATTTTATATAAATAAATATGATACTTATGAACATTATTTTAAAATATAAATTTAATATACTAATTATATTAATTATATATTAATTGTAATTTCTCCTCAAAAGTTAGATAGTATAAAGATTAAAATATTTTTATGAATTTTCATTCAAATATTTATAAATTAATATTAAAGTTTAACTTTAAAAAAAATATATCACAAGGATAATTTGATAAAATATACATCTAAGTAATCTTATATTTCTCCAACCAAACATTATAATCTTACATTCCTGCTAAACAAACCAAACAAGGTAATACAATATTCTCATAGTAATGTTACATTCCAATAATATTATTCTGAAAGGTAATCTTATATTCCGTTAAACAAACGTCCCCTAAGGTCCATAATTCAAGTCTTGATTATAATATCGTCTCCCACGGACGGTTTTGAGTTTTTACTGTGGTTCATGCTACAATTCTGTGTTCTTGGCGTTGGATTCGGATTGAAGGGTAGTTGCAGCATTTGATGAGGTTATTTCTTTTGATTTAAACAGAGAATAATAATCAATGATTTTAATGAACAAAAGAAGACAATATAAAATATAGAGAGAAGCATAACAACAAAGACGTTGCCTCCAGAAAAGAATTAAAGGAGATATAACAATTATACTCTTTTCTTTCTTTCTTTCTTTTATCCAAACATTATCTTAATACATTATGTTTTAAACATTATCCAGAAAAGATTTAAAGGTTAACTGGAGCTTATACATCATGTTTTACAATCAGATAGAAGATGATCACATCGACAACTGAAATCAGCAACTTCCTGACCTCAGTTATGGCTTTTGTTTTTACCCCAAGGAGTGTAAGAAGAACAACAGTTAAAGGAACTCCTGTCTATCTGCATAACTGAAGAGATATATATATCTCAGAAAAGAGTTTTTAACAATTAATGTTAATTTCTTACTTGAAAATGTGTAATGAATGTATATACAGCACAACCTGGAGGCAAAATATGTTTGCTCAAACAATCTAAAATCTGGCACCAACAATTGTCAATTGTCAGCCTCAGCACGGGCTGTGGCGGGGGAAGAATCCATCAGGCTAGCAGCAATTGCAGCCTTCAAGTCCTTCCATTTCTGAAAGCATGGACCAACGTAGAAATTTATGTTAGAAGATAAATTTATATTATAATATTTTACAAGATAAGGATAAAAACATATTATCGATAGAAAATACAAAAAAATTTAAAATTTTCAGACGACAACCACCCGGATTGCCCTGATATATTCACATAATAGGAAGCATATTTTACTTTATCTCATAGTTGATATATAAGACATAACATTTATTTGTAAAACCAACAGTAGATTGCGATATTGAAGAATACCATAAATGCAAATTATGATACAAAACAAAAGATCCGAATGAAGAATGCTGTATCCTTCATTACTTGTTGACAATCACCTAAACCACCAGCCAGATAACACCAGGATAGTAACAGGCCAGAAATAATGTACATGTCAAGATTCTTGTGTTGTTTCACTATAGATTATACTTGTAAAGATGCTTTCTTTTTCCAAGGATGAGAACATTTGAAGCACTAAATATTGAATATCTGGATCCGCCTCAGTTTGACACGCATGCACACAGCCTTCTTTGGGAGTTTACAAGTTGCTTCCTATGTCAACAACATGAACACTAAAGGCAAGTGTTTTGCAGTACTGAGCTGACTTATACTAAAATGCTGACTGAATATGTGAGGATAACATTTTTTCTTTTTTGAATAATATGGGATGATTACTCTATAACATATGTTCATAAATTTTCTTTGTATAACGCACATACCCTACAAATATAGCTGCTTGAATCTGAGAGTACCTTTAGAAAAAAAACAATAATCTTTTTAGCCACCGATATCATTTGATAACTTCATGTGAGACTAATATTTTAATTTTTTTATACCAATTACACCCACATAAGAAATGCATTCTATATAACAGAAATGAAAATTCATGTATGTTTGCCTTGTTGAATATTCAAGTGGCATCCGACATTGTTGAAAAAAAAATCAATAATGACTGCACAACAACCGGAGGTTTGGAAGCATTAATGGGGTTGTTTAGAATTCAAAGTTAGGCAACCACTTTGTTTGAAATAAAAATGAGGAAAATGCAATTTTAGTCATTGCACTTTAGGATATTTTTAAAGATTAGTCCTAAAGCTTCAACTATAAATACCCTAGCTTATTTAGCTTCAAAATCATCCCAAAATCCCTCAAATCATTTCTTTCTCCCAATACTAAAGAGTTTTCTTGTGAGTAGTGAGTGTTTTGTAAACACCTGTAAATTTTCTCTCTTATTAAAAAGATCTGTAGCAGTCCAGAGACGTAGGCACAATTGGCTGAACTCCGTTATCAATTTCGGATATTATTTTTCCGCTTTTATTTCGCATTCTCACTAATCTGGTTATAGGAGAATTACTCGTTCTCGTTTATTTCCCAACAACTGGTAATAAGAGCTTTTGGTTGTGAATTTTGTCAATTTTTTAAAAGGTTACTATTCATTATTGTTCATTACTGTTCACATGAATAGTGAATTTCGTGAATAGTAAAAAATTTTTGTCAGCGATACGAATTTGTTGACGGAGGTGTTCTAATACACGGTGGTTCGCAAGAATTGTCAAAAACGATCCAAACGAAGCCAGATTCGAGTGGGAGCGATGGTTGTATACGAAGGGAAGGTGAAAATTGAAAAGTTCAATGGTGCGGACTTTGGCTTTTGGAAGATGCAGATTGAAGATTTTCTGTACCAGAAAAATCTATATCAACGTCTCTCAGGAAAGCAACCAGAGGGCATGAAGAATGAAGACTGAGCTCTTCTCGACAAACAAGCCCTCAGAGTTATCCGACTGACGTTATCCCATAATGTTGCTTTCAACATAGCAAAGGAAAAGACCACGGCGGGTCTTATGGCATCTCTCTCCAGTATGTATGAGAAGCCATCGGCCTCAAACAAAGTTTATTTGATGATGCGATTATTCAATTTGCGGATGACGGAAGGGGCATCAGTGGCTCAACACCTAAATGAACTCAACAAAATCACAACTCAGTTGAGTTCAGTGGAAATTGAATTCGATGATGAAGTTCGAGCTTTAATTCTCTTATCATCTCTACCAGACAGTTGGAATGCTACTGTTACAACAGTCAGCAGCTCGTCGGATAACAACAAATTAAAATTCGACAATGTTCGGGATCTGATATTGAGTGAAGAATTTCGACGGAGAGAATCAGATGAAACATCAACCTCCTCAGCCTTGCACACGGAGTCTAGAGGGAGAACTTTAGAAAGAAATTCAAATCGTGGCAGATCCAAATCCAGAAGGGAAAAATCAAGAACGGGGAAGAAAGATTTTACTTGTTATAACTGTGGTAAAAAGGGTCACTTTAAAAGAGATTGTCGAGCATTGAAGAAAGATACTGGTGCACAGGAATCTGCAAACGTGACAGAGGAGACATGTGATGCCATGATTTTAAGCGCCAACAGTCTGATTGAATC